AGGAGTAGGATGAGGAGGAGGAGGAGGAGGAGGAGGAGGAGGAGGAGGAGGAGGAGGAGGAGGAGGAGGAGGGAGGAGGAGGAGGAGGAGGATGAGGAGGAGAAAGAGGAGGAGGAGAAAGAGGAGGAGGATGAGGAGGAGGAGGAACAGAATGAGGAGCAGGAGGAAGATCAGTGACACACCTATTTTTTAATGATACTAGTAAGAACACGAGGAATAATAAAACGACCACGAAGACGAATACGAAGACGAACACGCACACGAGTACTAATAGCACTACTAGAATAATAATAGTAGTACGACTAAGGATAATCATAATAACTCTACCACTATTAATAACATTACTACCAATATTCATAAGAAGAAGACGAGTGATACAATGACGAATAAGAGTACTAATACTACTACTAGTAATAACATATATCAATAATTCTGTCAATTAAGGCTAATAATTCTATCAATAATATTGCGAGGCTAATAATGCAATAACAACTAGGCTATAATTCTGCCATAACAACTAGGCTAATAATTCTATCAATAATATGGCTAGGCTATAATTCTGCAGTAACAACTAGGCTAATAATTCTATCAATAATATTGCTGATATTAATGTGATTACTACCGTTACTATTAATAATAGCAACAACAATAATATTAGCAATAGTGATAGTTGACTAATAATAGTATTACTAACAACAATAGTAATAATACAACAACAAGAATACGACTAACAGTATTAATAACAATCATAAACGAATCATAGCAATAGTGATAATACTAAGAATAATGATAATAGTACTAATACTACGAATGATACTAATAATAGAAATACTAGTAATACTAATAGCAATAATAATAATATTAATACTAATAGTAATACTACTACTACTACTAATAATAATACAAAGGAGGAGGAGGAGGAGGAGGAGGAGGAGGAGGAGGAGGAGGAGGAAGAGGAGGAGGAGGAGGACGGCATTTTTTTGAAACGAATGTGCTCCGCTCTAAGGCGAGAGCCACATTTTGAAAACGACCCGCCCTCCATTTGTGAAACTTTTGTCATCTTTTAAGCTTCAGAGTAAGAAATGGTGAGGAAGTCTCAGGCGCAACGCCTGGCCCGCCCCAAAAATTGGCCTCGGAGTGCGACAGGGAGGAGTCACCTGTAAGGAGGAGGCATGGAGGAGGAATGGAGGAGGGGCCAGGAGGAGGAGGAGGCTCAGGAGAGGAGCGGCGCTAAGGCGAGAGCCACATTTTGAAAACCACACGCCCTCAATCCATGAAGCTCTTGCAATTTTTTTTGAAACGACTGTGCCGCTCTAAGGCTAGAGCCACATTTTGGAAACGACCAGCCCTCCATTTGTGAATCTGTTGTCATCTTTTTAGCTTCAGAGTCATAAATGGTGAGGAAGTCTCAGGCGGAACGCCCGGCCCGCCCCAAAAATTGGCCTCGGAGTGCGACAGGGAGGAGTCACCTGTAAGGAGGAGGAGTGGAGGAGGAATGGAGGAGGAGGAGGGGCCAGGAGGAGGAGGAGGAGGAGGCTCAGGAGAGGAGCAGGGAGGAGCAGAAGGGGGGAGGCAGGAGGCCGAGGACGCTGGCGAGGACGAGGCCATTTATCTGCGCGAACGAAATGGGCACGGAAAGAATGGGCACAATGCCCAACAGCAGCTCCTGTTCATTTTGAACCGGAGGCGCTGTCCGCGCCGCCGCGGCCTGTGTCCACTTGAGACAGGAGGCCGCCTGCCCATCAGCGGCCGCTGTTGGTTTTGGGCAACTTTTGTTGTTGGGCATTGTACCCATTCTTTCCGTGCCCATTTCGGGCGTCCAAAGTGGAGGAGGCTAAGGGGCAGGTCCGGCGAGCTGGTCCTCTTCCCCTCGTGGCTGAGCCACATGGCCACTGTCACGGCGCCGGCCTCCGACATCCGGGGCGGCGGGGAGGACCCGCCGCACGCCCGCGCGCGCGCGGCGGGGTCCGACTCCGACCCAGTTCCGGTTCCTCTTCCCTTCTCCTCCTCCTCCTCGTCCTCCTCCTTCCTTCCCCTCCTCCTCCTCCTCCTACCTCCTCCTCCTCCTCCTCCTCCTCGTCATCCTCCTCCTCCTCCTCCTCCTCCTCGCGCGGCGCCTCCTCTTCCCTGGCCTCCGAGGTTGTTGTCCGTCTCGATTTGATGAGCGCGCCATCCATCCATCCATCCTCCTCCCTCCCTGCCTCCCTCCCTCCTCAAGGTGGCAGCGATTTAGATTGCCACGACGCTTTTGTTTAGGAGCTCCAGTGTTGCATTGTGGTTGTTCGGCTGCCCAGGGCGGCGACCTTTTAGATTGCCGTTCAGAAGCGCCAGTGGCGCAAGGTCGTGACTTGTGTCCACCCAGCGCACGCTCGTGTTGCGCTCTGCCCTTGGGATTTCGCGCCGATGCAGCCCGATCCCCAGACTCCTTCAAGTTTCGGACAATTCGCGATGTAATTTTGTCGTTGTCGTTGTTGTCGTTGTTGTTGGATGTTATTGTTGTAGTTGTTGTTGTTGTTGCTGCTGTTTTTGTTGTTGTTGTTTTATTGTTGTTGTTGCTCTTGCTGTTGCTGTTGTTGTTGTTGTTGTTGTTGTTGTTGTTGTTGTTGTTGCTGTTGTTGTTGTTGTTGTTGTTGTTGTTGTTGTTGTTGTTGTTGGTGTTGTTGTTGTTGTTGTTGTTGTTGTTGTTGTTGTTGTCATTGTTGTTGTTGTTGTTGTTGTTTTCGTCGTCGTTGTTGTTGTTGTTCTTGTTGTTGTTGTTGTTGTTGTTGTTGTTGTTGTTGTTTTTGTTGTTATTTTTGTCGTTGTCATTGTCCTTGTCCTTGTCCTTGTTGTTGTCGTTGTCGTTGTCGCTGTTGTTGTTGTTGTCGTTGTTGTCGTTGTAGTTGCTGTCGTCTCGTTGTCGTTGTCATTGTTGTTGTTGTTGTTGTTGTTGTTGTTGTTGTTGTTGTTGTTGTTGTTGTTGTCGTTGTTATTGTTGTTGTTGTCATTGTTGTTGTTGTTGTTGTTGTTGTTGTTGTTGTTGTTGTTGTCGTTATCGTTATCGTTCTCGTTGTCGTTGTCGTCGTCGTTGTTGTTCTGGTTGTTGTTGCTGTTATTGTTATTGTTGGTGATGTTGTTGGTTTCGAATTCTCATTTCAGAAGAATAATTTCTTTTCACCTCCCCTCCGGTAGCCAGTACATTTTTCAAGTACAGTGTTCCTCACGGGGCTCGCACCCTGTTTTTTTACAAGGGAAAGTGAGGTGCCACCAAACTGTGTTGTTTGGCCCGTTGTTGTTGCCATTGTTGTTGTTTTAGTTGTTGTTGTTGCTGTCGGTGTCGTCGTCGTCGTCATTGTCGTCGACGTCGTCGTCATCGTTGTTTTTGTTGTTGCTGTTGTCGTCGTCGTCGTCGTTGTTGTTGTTGTTGTTGTTGTTGTGGTCGTCGTCGTCGTCGTTGTTGTTGCTGCTGTTGTTGTTGTGGTTGTTGTTGTTGTTGTTGTTTTTATTGTTGTTGTCGTCGTCATCTTCGTTGTTTAAGCTGTTGTTGTTGATATTGTTGTTATGGTTGTTGTTGTTGTTGTTATTGTTGTTGTTGTGTTGTTGCTTATGTTGTTGTTGTTGTTGTTGTTGTTGTTGTTGTTGTTGTTGTTCATATTACTGTTGTTGTCGTCGTCGTGGTCGTTGTTGTTTGTTGTTGTTGCTGTTGACGATTTTTCATTTCTGAAGAGTAAGTGTTGTTGATCCCCCTCCTCCTCTGCGGCACATTTTGTCTTTTCAATGGAAGTGCCCTTCCCAGCGCTCGCACCCTGTTGTTTATCGGGGAAAGTGTTGAGCCTCAGAATTCTGTCTTCGGCCCCTGATTTACAACAATGGCTCCAGCGTTATTCTTCCACACAATTTATTTCCAAATCGCGCTCTCGCGCGGGACGTCCTCAAATTTATTCGGACGCCACGCCCTCGACACTCAGGAATCACGAACTTGCTGTGGATTTCCTCGTGATTTATTTGGGAATCGCGCTATCGCTTCAGAATTCCTTGCGCAGCTTTGTGCAGGAAGGGCGAGGATGGAACCCTGGCCTCGCCCCTTCCAGAGGCACCTTCCCAGGCGTGCGGCGCTCGTTATTTCCTGCCGCGGAAGGACAAGGCAGGCCCGACTTTGCTTGGGCCCCGTCGCACCTCGCGATCGACGGCGCGCTGGACACAGGAGCGTCAGTGTTTGACGTGCAAGGGGATGCGTGGGCAGATTATACTCTGCCCGCCTCGGAGCCCTATCCCACGCGTTGCCAGAGAAGTCTGCTGACGTGGTGGATCTCCGGGTCGGGGCCGCGCAGTCTCATTTCAACGGCACCGCAACGGGTACTTACCAACGGGCACTTTGCAATTTTGCCGAAAGTTGCCACTCTAGGGCCTCCTTCTGGCAGTTCAGCGTTGCCCGCATCGGGAAGGGCTGGGTTCGCTGGGTCACTGGCCAAAGTGCCCGTTAGTGGAGTCCCCGTTTGAGGGGCGCCGACTCATGTTCGTTGCCTGGGACTGGCTGTGGCCAGAATTGTCGGGCCCTCCTCTCCTAAGGGTGAAAGACTGCGTGGTTTTTTTTTGACTGGTCTCCAACTATCGCGCGTCGAAGAAAGCCGAATCGTTGAACATAAAATCCATTGCGGATTTCGCCGGCAAAATCGTCGCCGACCTTCTGAGGGCTCGGAGAGCGTGAAGAATTGCGGAGCTCCGGCTCCGGGGCCAGGAGCGGTGTGCGGGCGGCCCGCCAGCGGCCCGCGCGCGGCACCCCCGAGAGTCGTCCCCGCAGCAGTCCGTGCGCGTTCTCCGGACGCGGGCGAGGTGCGCTGCAACGCGTGCAGTCGTGCGGCTGGCACTGAGCTCGCGCTTCGCTCTCTTCGGAGTCGCTCGCGCGGACTCTGTGAGCGGGCGTCTGAGCGCAGGCTCGGAGCGGCCCTGACGAACGAGCAACACACCCCCATATCCATGGGGGGGTCGCTGGGAGGAAGACTGGCTATGGATATGGGTGCGGGTTGTCGGACCCTGGGGAACGCTCCCGTTCGAGCGCGGACCCCCGTTCGACAACACGCACCCATAGCCCTTTCCGACCCCCCTATGGGTATGGGTGTTTGTTGTTGTTTTTGTCAGGCCCTGTACCTGGAGGATGCCGGGAGGAGGGGGATTCTCTTCCACGAGGGGGCGGACGCCACGCTAGGGCGTGCGCTCTTGGCCGCGTCCGCCCTTCACGTCGACGGGGAGGAGGCTGTGTCGGGTGAGCCGCTTGTGAGCGTGGTCGTGCCGATCCCCTCCATGGACATGAGCTGCTCTTCCGAGCGAGGCCACCAAGTCGTGCATGCCGGGCATGCGCTCGTCTGCCGATGCTGCGCTTCCTTCCCATCCCGACTGCGCGTGGGCCCCAGGTGCCAGCTTCGGCAGGAATGCCAGGGCTTCGCGAGGGAGGAGCGCCTCCAGAGGAAACAACTGGCTGATCTGGCCAAGGTGCTTTCGAGGGTTGACCCCGAAACGGGCGTGTCGCTCGTCTCACCTCTCCACCCCGCTTCCTCGTCCTCCGTTCCTCCGCCCCCTCCTCCTGCTCCTCCTCCGCCGCAGGAGGTGCTTGGTGAATCCCCGCCGCTTGGCTAGCCTTGCCTGGGAAACCGTGCGCTCTGCGCAACGTAGCGCCACACAGGCAGCCCATTGGGGCCATGCCTACTGGCTTTCCCGCTCGGCCGCGCCGACTAGGTTTCGGTGGCATGGTCCATCGTGGTTCAGATTTTTCGCGCATCTTCGGTATTTCGTTGACGACTCGATTTGGGTTCTGGCTCCTCCTCCTCCTCCTCCTCCTCCTCCCTCCTCCTCCTCCTCCTCCCTCCTCCCTCCTCCCTCCTCCTCCTCTCCTCCCCCTCCCCCTCCCCCTCCCCCTCCCCCTCCTCCTCCCTCCCCCTCCTCCTCCATCCTCCTTCCTCCTCCTCTCCTCCTCCTCCCTCCTCCTCCTCCTTCCTCCTCCCCTCCCTCCTCCTCCCGCCCCACCCTGCCCGAGAGCCGAGGAGCCCCTGCGGGTGGTCTTCTCCTTCAACATCGGCCCGGTGGAGGGCCCGCTGCCCTGCCACCTCTGGTTCCTTCCGGCCGCTGGCCGCCGGCCGCCGCTTGTGATCGATCGCCTCGACCTTCTCCTCGCTGCTCCTCCTCGCTCCTCCTCCTCGCTCGTCCTCCTCGTCGCTCATCCTCCCCGCTTCTCTTCCTCGCTTCTCTCTCCTCCTCCTCCTCCTCCTCCTCCTCCTCCTCCTCCTCCTCGTCGACCAAAAACAATCGACACCACTCCACCTACGGCCCTCCATGTTGCGCTACGGCCCATCGGGGGCCGTGGCGTATACCACTCCACAAAAACCCGCCAGATCTCCTGGGATACGCTGAGCCCCGTGGGGCCGTAGGTGGGCGGTGTCGTTTGTTATCTGGTCTATCCTCGCTCCTCCTCCCTCCCCGGGCGGCGCTGTCAACCCCAGCTGCCGCCGGCTGGCCGCCGGCGATCGATTGCCTCGGCCGGTCGATCGGCCGCCTCGATCGATCGATCGATCTAGTTGTCGGCATCAGGCACTGTTCGGGGAATCGATCGATCGATCGATCGTTCGCCTCCATCGATCGATCGCCTCGATCGATCGGGCACTGTCAGGGGAATAGGCTCAGGCAGGGATGCACCGGCCCCCAATCGCGAACTGATCGCCGATAGGGGCCCAGTATCGCACTCCGCCCAGGAGCGTCCAGATGCGCTACACGGGGCCAATCGCAGATCTGTCGGCGATGTATCGCCGATTCCAGGTCGATGCTTCCTTCCCTGAGCGGGACCCCCTCCTGACGTTCTCCCTCACGATCGCTTCGCCTCGATCGATATCGACATCGATCGATCGGTCGGTCGCCGCCTCGACGATCGACTGCTGTCCCGGTCCATCGAGGGGAGCGAGCATCTCTTCGACCGATCGACCAGTTCAGGAGCGAGGTCTTTGGGTCGCTCTGTAGGCCCTTTCCTGAGGGCCTCCCTGGAGGCCTGCGGAGGCCCTGCAGTGGGCCTTCGGGCAGTCTCTGGCGACCTCCAGAGACCTCCAGACGATGTGGGTCGGTCGTCGTCGTTGTAGTCGGCGTTTTGGGGGAGGGAGGTGGTGCAGTCTCCTCAATCACACATCCTCTCTCCCTCCTCCGTCGTCTCTCCTCCCTACCCACTCCTCCCGCATCCCTCCTCCATGTCCTTCCTACATCCCCCCTCGTCCCTTCTCCCTCCTCGTTCATCCTCATTCCCCATCCCTCCTCAGTCACCCCTGCTCCATCCTCCTACCTCCTCGCTCCTGTTTGCCCCTCGGCGCCCTCCCCTCCCTCCTCCTCATCCCGCTCCTCCTTTCCCCTCCTCCCTCTCTTCCTCCATCCCTCCCCCTCTACCCGTTCCAACAGCACATGCACAACCCCCCCCCCGGGAATCCGAGGGGCTGTGCGGGGGCGATTCCTGTCCCATTCCCTTTATTCCTGCTGCTCCTCCTCATTCTTCTCCTACTTCTCCTAATCCTCCTCCGCATCCTTCTCCTCGTCCTCCTCCTCCTCCTCCTCCTCCTCCTCCTCCTCCTCCTCCTCCTCCTCCCCATCGTCTCTTTTGTCAGTGGTGCGCCACCCCAAGAAGGGGAAATGCGCCCTCAGTGCCTCAGCCACTCATTAGGATCAGGGTGTGAATTTTGGGCGGGGCATTTTGCGGCCCCCGCGGCCACCCAGACGTGACTCAGCAGGCCCGTCTTCTTTCTTGTTCTGGCCTCCCCCGGGGCTTACGCTGGCTCACGCTCAGTCCCTGTGGTCCCAAGTGGTGGAGGGGCTGAAGCTCGACGAGAGCAGGAGCCAGAGGGCCCGCTCCGACTCGAATTGGTGGTGCATGCCTCCTCATCTTCCTCCTTATCTCCAGCCTTCCTCTCATCGTCCTCCTATTCTCGCTCTTCCGCACCGACTGGGTGGGGGTCAATATCGTCGCGAAGCCCGACGAAAAACCATAGGTCAGAGGAGAACTGGTGATTTGGGGTGTTTGGACCGCGTGGAAGTCGAATGAGGAGAGTGATGCGGGTCTGTCTGACGGCACGGACGGCAACAACATCATCCGTCTTAATATTGCGGTCGTCGTCGGCGTCTTTGTCGGTGTCGGCGCCGTTCATCATTCGTTGTTGATCGTTATCGTTTTCGTCTTATACGGTTTCTCTGTCTATGTGTGTCTCCATCTCGCGCTCTCTGTCTCTCTCTCTGTTTCTCGTTTTTTTGTTCTCTACCTCTCTCTCTCTCTATTCTCTCGTCGCCGCCGTCGTCGTTTTAGCCGTCGCAAAAGACGATACATATGTTTATATGTAAGCGTGTTCCGTGGGCGCTTCAACACCACACCGCTCACCCTCCAGATCTTCGCTTCCGGCTCCTGTCCAAGGCGTTCCTTTTCCTGTGCAAGCTCCTCGGCACCGCCTGCACCCTGGCCCGCCCTCCGGCCGCCTGAGGCCCTGCCCGCCTGTGCCTTGTCTCCCCAATTAGAGCTGTGCGTAGCCCGCCTAGCTTTTACCGGAAGAGGTTTGCTCTCGCCCCGCAGACCAAAAAGTGTTCCGTGGGCGCTTGGCCGGCGCGCCCCAGCTGCGCGGCGAGATCGTCGAAGCTCCCCGGCGGGGCCTGGCGGGAGCCGCTGTGGGGCCTCTTGGGGGATTTTTGGGGCCTCCAGGGGGCTTTGCAGGGGCCTGTCGGAGCCTCTCGGGGGCGTCTCGGACCGTTTTGGGGCGCCTTTGTGCCGTTTGGCCCTTTCGGAGGCCATCCTTTGGGCCTCTCGCGGCCGCCTTGGGGCTCTCTTGTGGTCCTCTTGGGCCGTCTTGGGCTCTTGGACCGTCTTGGGGGCCTCTTTGGGCCGTCTTGGGGCCCTCTTGAGCCGTCTTGGGGTCCTCGTGGTGGCCTCTGGGGCCGTCTTGGAACCATTCTGGAGGCTGCTTGGGCTGTCATGGGCTTCTATACGAGTCGGACAGACGAGAACGCTAAAATCCTCCCAGGATCGAGTGGAATTCAATTACTTTGGCGGCCTCAGGAGGCGCTCTTGGGTCCTGTGGGGGCCCTCTTAGGCCGTCTTTTGGGCGCTTGGGGACCTCTTGGGGCATCCTGGTCGGCGGAAGTGGCGTGGCTTCGGTGGGTGGGTGGGGGGTTGCATAATATTGTAGAAGAGTACAACGTTTAGCAATGATGTATTACTGGGATACGTTGAACTTGTGCAAGAATTGGATGCAGTGAATACGTTGCGTTTCCGCCTCCTTACACTTGCCTCTGCCAACACGTTCCTGCTGGACGTGGATTCCTCTCGCTTCGCGGGGTGCACGTCCGGAGCACGTACAGTGCAGTCGTTGTGGGACCTCCTGGGAGTTCTCGCCTCTGCTACCCCTCCCTCCCGCCTCCCCCCATCCCTCCTTTTTCTTCTCCCCTCCCCCTCCTCCCTTCCAGCGCCGGCTCTAATCATGGGCGCCGCCGTGACCAACTTCACCTTGGTTGCGCTGCGCCGCGGTCCACCCAGGGCGGGGTGTTATTTTTAGATTACCTTTCTGGGGTGTCTGAACCACAAGCTGGCATTACAGTCCAGTCGTTGTGGGACCCTCGGGGGGCCTCTTGTGGGCGTCTTGGAAGCCTCTTGGGGGCTTTATGAGGCCTCTTGAAGGCCTCTTTGGGGCCTCTTGGGGCCTCTTGGGGGCGTCATCGGCCGTCTTGGGGCGCTTTTGCGCCGTCGGCCGCCTTTGGGGCTCTCTGGGGGTCCCGTGGGGCCGTCTTGGGGGCCTCTTGGACCGTCTTGGGGGCCTCTTTGGGTCGTCTTTAGGGCCGTTTGGGGGCCCTCTTGGGGGCCCCTTGGGCCGTCTTGACGCCATTTTGGAGGCTGCCTGGGCCGTCATGGGCCTCTAAGAGTCGAGAAAGGCGAGAACGCTAAAATCTTTCAAACACCAACAGCAAATCAATGATTTTGGCTTCTGGAGGCGCTCTTGTGGGCGCTCTTGGGCCCTTTTTGGGCCGTTTTGGTGGGGTTTTGGGTCCTCTTGGGGCAATTTTGGACAGTCTCGGGGCCGTCTTGGGCCGTCTTGAACCATCTTGAGCCGTCTTTGAAGTTTCTTGGGCCCTCAAGAGGCCCAAGGGGCCCAAATTGTCGATTTCCAAAAAGGTGTTTCGGACGTCTTTGGGGCCCCAGAAAGGGGGGGGGGCCACCCTGGTCGGCGGACGTGGTGTGGCCTGGGGCGGGGGGTTAGGGAGGGAGACATGATAATGTAATACAATGCAATATGTAGCAATTACGTCATAATTGGGCACAGTGCAATGGTGCAATAATTCGATGTATGCGATATGTTGCGTAAGGGCTTCCGTTCCGCTGCGCGACCTGCCTCCGGCAACACGTCAGTGGCAACACGTCAGTTCTGGACGTGGATTCTACACGCTTGCGCCACATCCGCCTCCACGGTGATTGCGATGTAGATTGAATGGAGAAGATGACGTGAGCGAAGGAGGAAATTTATGATGATGATGATGCTGCTGATGATGATGATGATGGTGGTGGCGATGATGATGATAATGGTGATGCTGATGATGATGCTGATGAAAATGAGGATGATGTTTATGGTGTTGATGATGATGATGGTGTTGGTGGTAATGTTGGTGATGATGATGATGGTGGTGATGATGATGATGCTGATGATGATGATGGTAGCGGTGACGATGATGATTCCGATGATGATGATGCTGCTGATGATGATGCTGATGATGCTGCTGCTGCTGATGATGATGATGATGATGATGATGATGGTGCTGGCGATGATGATTGATGATGAGGAAGAGGAGGAAAGGGAGAAAGATAAATAAGATACCTTGGTCGGGCGCCCATGTCGACAAATACAGTTTTTCTGCGGCCCGCTTTCGCGCAGGGGCGGGCTCTCCTGCTCCACGGGCCCTTTCGCCTTCCACCCTCGTTTTCATTCCGGCTTGCGCTTCTCCCCGACGCCTGGTCTTTGAGAACAAAAAGGGCGGCGGACGACGGGCGACGGACGACGGACGACCGACGACGGACGACAGTCAGGAGGGGAAAAAACACACAGACACAATTTATCGTCGCCTCCCAGGTAGATATGGGAAAATATGGGCAGTGGGGGGGAAGACAGAAACCCAGAAAATATGGGAAAATATGGAGGACATTTTAATTCGTGTGTATTTATTTGTGTGTCCCAGAGCCCCTTCAGACAGGCGACCGACGACGATGACCGAAAGGAGAGACAGAGAAAGCGAGAGAGAGAGAGAGAGCCGCAGGTTCAGCGACCCCACGGGGGACATGCGCTTCCGGCGGCGCAGCCCCATCGACCCGAGGGAGCTGGAGTTGTGACCCCCCCCGCCCTCCTCCTCCCTCTTCCCTTCCCTTCCCTCCTCCTCTCTTTCCTCGTCCTCCCTCCTCCCTCCCTCCCCTCCTCCCTCTTCCCTTCCTCCCTCATTCCCTCCCCCCTGGTTTCTCCTCTCTTTCCTCGTCCTCCCTCCTCCCTTCCTCCCTTCCTCCCTCTTCCCTTCCTCCCTCATCCCTTCCCCCCTGGTTCCCCCTCTCTTGCCTCGTCCTCCCTTCCTCCCTCCCTCCCTTCCTCCCTCGCGCTCGGTCCTAGCAGGGTAGGTTGGGCTGAGACAGGCGGCGTCAGGTCGGGTTGGGTTGGGGTGGGGCGGGCTTGGTTGGGCAGGATGCCAGCAGTTCTTCCGCCGAGGCCCTCGCAGCACTAGCGGCAGCCTCTGACTTGGAGGACTGATACCTAACCATCGTCACGCTACACGAGCGGAAGCTTGGACCACTTACTCCGACACAACTCAAGATCACATTGGAATCATGTGGTCTATTGCCCATGAGTCCACGATGACCTACATGGACGATGATCAGGATCTACGCCGTCATTTCTGCGTCCAGGCGTGGTCATGGTCATCGCTGTCTTTCCCTCCAAGCTGCCTCGTTCCTCCTTTTTCCTCCCCGGCTCCCTCCCCCCCTCCCCCCTTCGGTGATCTAGAGGTTGACACCAACGCCAACATCGGCGGCTGCCTCAACCGAGAGAACATTATTCTCTTTCGGGTGAGGGTGGTCGTACTCGAGCTTCTGAGGTGGCCGAGAAATTACCACCGTCACGAAAATCTAGGATCACCTTCCCCCGGTGGAGGCAACCCCCTTTGCTGACGTTGGGTTGGTGCCAATTTCCTGGTTTGGTCATGATCATCGTTTTCTCTCCCTCCGAGCTTTTTTGTCGTCCCTCATCTGCGCCTTCCTTTCTCCCAGTCAGCGGCCCCAGCGCCAGACCCGTCTCATGTCTTTGCCCACCAGGGCCAGGCGTGTCTGCCCGAAACCCCAAGCCCGCCAAAACATGAGTGCATGCCAGTTTTTTGCGTTTTTTCCTCATCACCCAGAGGGTGGGCTTGCGACAGGGACGCGCCCAAAATAGCGACAGGCATGGGGGGGGGAGGGAAAAAGGACGAGGGGATTGAAGGGGACCCTGGGCCCCCCCTCCCAGCGGCAATCCCTTCCCTCCCCTCCCTCCGTCCCCTTCCCTCCTGCTTTCCTCCTTTTCCTCCTCCTTCCGCTCCCCAATCGCTATTTTTGCTCAAATTGTTGTTGTCCCCCGGGCAGAAAACGTACACCTCTAGTCCGAGGCCTGACCAGGAGATTTTTGTGAGCTCCTGGGGAGCACGGCCACCTCGACCATTCCCGCATCAGCTCGTGCGGTGCGGGTAAGCTGAGGCATTCTTGACGCTTCGCGTATCCCCACCAGTTCCGTAGCCTCTGGCTCAAGTCCCTCTGGCTCAAGCCGTCTCTGGGCCCTGGCCCCTCGGCCGGGTCTCCCAGCCCAAGGGGGTATCCCCTAGGAGTTTGCGGGCCGCGCGCTGCCCCTGGGCCGCGCTTCGGCCATATCAGACTCCCTGGATTACACCTCCCCCAGCGGCGCGGCGCGGCAGCCAGCCTGCCAGGTCAGGCTTAGCATGGATGGGAACCCGATCGGTGACAGATCTAGGATTCCTGGGAACACTGCGGGTGAAGATGGAAGTCTAGTCGAGGGCCAGGGGGCCCACGTACTGGCTGGTTCAAGCCCTCCTCCCCCAGGATCACAGGATACCATCCCTCCAGGGCAGCCGTCGCCCCTCGCTCCTTGGGGCCCTCCGGGCTCGACCGGTCCGATCGCGTCCGAGGATCCCTTGATCGCGCCCGTCAACTCAGCAGACACACGAGAACAATCGGCCTTCAGCCGGACGGAAGTTGAGGGTGCCACGGTGAGCGCCGCGAGACACAGTGACATTGCGACCTTCAGTCGCTTCCCTGAGTTTGATATTGACAGCAATGACTCTTTCCCGCCAGATCTGTTTTCCCTCTCTTACCCCGACGCTTCCTCTGCCCCTGGCTGGGCGTCCAATCTTCTTCTCTCCTGGCGGTGAAGGGCAGGACTGGATCGCGCGCGGCGATGCCAGGACCACGGGGGGCCTTGGCCCCTTTCCTGATGAAGAGCATCCCCCGAGAGCCTCAGGCCCATTTGGGCCGCGCAGGAGCTCCCGCCAGAGAGGCGCTCTCGAAGATCGGCCCAGGGGCTTGACCGACGAGGGTGGATGGCCTATGCTTGAGGCTGCCCAGGGGGGGGACTGCGGTGATGATGGGTGGGTGGACGGACCGCCGTCCGCTCACGTCCCCGATCCACATCCCATTGGCTCACGCCCCCACTCCACCGACCGCCCTCCCTTGGACGCTTCAATACAGAGAGGAGCAGCCTTCAGCTGCGAAGGGGCCGATCCTTTGACCGTGGAGGCCGTCGTCCCGGTCGCGCAGCCGACCCCTCCCAATGATGTGAGCCGACGTCAAGACGGCTCCCGCCTTCCGCCCGCCGCCACCCCCGGGCACGACAGTGTTGTGCACGCAGAAGACGGGCCTTCAGCCCGGGTAGCGCCGTGCGAGACAGCAGGAGTGGACGAGCCTGTAGCTCGGGATTCTTTAAATGGACAGATGGACGTTGACGGCGGCACGGCTGCCAATCAGCGCCCCGGTCATCCCGGCAATCCCGATGACTCCCGTCCTTCATCCGCCCCCCAAGCTGGCAGTCACAGACGGGGCGAGCCTTCAGCTCGGGAATCGCAGGCGGGACGAGCCTTCAGCTCGAGTCTCCAAGGCGTATCTGACAGTTACACGAGGGGCGAGCTTTCAGCTCGAGAACCAGAGGCGATGCCCATGGATGCCGAGAGGGCCGCAGAGACTGCGGCCATGAGTGGCGGCGGCATTGAGCCCCCAGCCATCCCTGGTGAAGCAACTCAGGGCCCCCCTCATCAGGCGGGGCCCCAGGCCAGCGGAGGGCGTGCGGCCGACACCGCCGACGTAGTCATGGAAGCGCCAGGCCCCGCAACGGGGCCGACCCAGAGAGGGCGCGTCGAGGATGGTGCGGCTGGCGCAGCCGGCGCTACAGGCGATCAAGGTGGCTGCCGCCGCGACACCGCCGCTTCCCTCCCTGGAGACATGGGCGCCACGACGGCAGTAGCACCCAGCCCCATGTCGTTGACCTCACCGATGGGACTGGCCCTCAGCCAGGAAGAAATGAGCAGGAAACGGTTGGGGATGGACGCGACGAGCATACTGAATGCTGCGCTCGACAGGGGCTACAGAGCGGCGCGTCTCGCTACAGACAGCGCCGAAACGAGCGGCCACGGCCGATCCTCCCTGGTAGCGACGACGGCTGTATCCACGGGTCGACCCCACACGTCCGACGCCAGCAGGGTCCCATCTGACCGTGCCCACGAAGTGGGCTTCCCGGTCGATCTGATCGATCGCATCGGACCTCCGATCGTCGTCGCTGGACCGCCCTGCCTCTCCCTCTCCTCGCCTACCCGCTCCCCTCCCATCCACTCCTCTCCTGGCCCCCCCCCTGGGTTAGAACATCCAGACGCCATTCCGGGCGGTAGTGGCCATGGCCGCGAAGACCCGTCCCAAGGGGTGGGCCGTGGGCCCCTCATCAGGACTGCCAGCGGTTCTCCGGTCGCGTTGAGGCGTGCGGCTCCCAGAACGCCCAGTGCGCCGATTCCACTCCCTTTCCCTTCTCCAGACCTAGCCCTGGAGGGGGAACTTCGGATGGCGAGCCAGGATGCCCCCACTGACGCGGAGGATGGCACCAGCCAGACCCATAGAGAGAGGGTGCAGTACGCAACCGACCTGCATGCTCGATGCATGGACGCCGCTGGACACACGAACGCAGACTGGGCAGTCAGTCGGGAGACTGATGGACCCATGTCTGGGCCGCGCGTTGCTGGCCCTAGGGTCGCAGGCAGGGGAGGCACCATGAATGCCCTCCGTCGCCACCTAGTGCGCCTTGACGGCCCCGGGCGTGAAATCCCCGACCGAGGGGCACCTATAACCGCCGACCAAGCCAGTAACCTGGAGCTCCTCGCCCACCACGCGTGGAGGGGGCATCGCCCTGGTCATCCTAGTATACGGGAAGGCAGCCCCCTGCGAGCGGTCCCAAACGACGCTCTCCTCCCCGGGTTCGGATCTCAGCGAGCCACCTCGGCGCCAGCCCTCGCCATCATGAACCTCTCCTGGCTGGTCTGGTCAGTCGCAGGCGGAGACCACGAAGGACGCCTAGGGGGTACTCAACCTGATCCGACGCAGGTGCTAGCCTTCCGCTTCGCGAGTGTCACTCATGACCCGTGTGTAAGGTTGGAAATACTGGGCGCGGACGATCCCTCCGTGGTGGAAATGCAACTAGCACGTCTCGAGTACGCCGTCATGACGACCGCAGCGCACCATTGCGACATCGGGATGGAGCCTCCGAGTGGATACGACACGGGCAACATGCTCTCGCCCACCAGGCCTCCCCGTGATGCTGTGCCACTGCGCAGCAGCGGCCCCGACCGGCCAGACGGCGCCCGAGACCCCGTGGACGACGAGGCCAGGGCGTGCGCGTACAGAGTCCTAATCCACGAGCGCAGGCAAAACATTGTTCACTTTCCGGGCCACAGGGACATCAGACATTGGGCCACCAGGAGGGGCAATCTCGAACGGGTTGGCGACGACGTACACTCGAGACAACAATCAGGTAGAGGCCCCGTGCCATGGGCAGAGCCAGCTCTAACAGGAGTAACGGCCAGCACAACTGGAATCCCAGGGGTGCCGATCCAAGGTGGCGACAGAAATGACAATGCGTGGCCCTGGTCCACCGCGGCGCACCGCCTGCTGCTACGGGATTTCTTTTGCCCGACTCAACGGTGCGACTTCTGCGGATCGTGGATGCTTCGAGGCCCGGTGGGCCGACGTTGCATCACCTGCCAGAGGTTGGCCAACCCGTGGAGCTACAGCGAAGGCGAGCAGCAGTCGGGCGACCCCCACCAGGTTCACCCCCGCGCGGAAACGGGCCAGCCACTCAACAGGGACGCCCTCGACTTCCTTGATAGCACCCTGCAACTTTAGCTGGTCAGGGCCGGCATGCGATGCG